TGGACATCAGAGGATGCTGCCAAAAAGTGAAGCTGCTCTCTTGCAGAGCTGCATGAAAGCTCAGCACTCAAGAAGCAGGAGATGCTGGAGATCCACCACAACACATCTCATCCTAGGAGTACTAAAACTAAAATATAATCTAGAATACAGCAGTTCTCTCGGAGAAATTCTAAAAGGCATTGAGATTTCTACAACAAAAGGTGATAAAAGGAGAGAAGCAAGTAGCAGCCAGGACTCAGATGGAGAAGCAAAAGCACCTTCCTAAGTCAGTGCCAAGGTGGATAACACGGATTGGGTTGTTGGGCAGCTGTGCTGCCTCACAAAGCAATATGCAAACTGATGCAAGTCTTGTAGTGAGCTATGCTGTCCCTACCAGAGGCACAAGGGGCCAAATAGTGCAGCATACTAACACAGGGCTGACGAAACATCTGCTTTATTACCAGGTTTGTCATGATCTACAACATGACCTTGGATGAGTCACTCCACCTCTCTGTGCCTCTGGCTGCCATCTGGCTAATTAGACTAAACTATTTGATGTGAGGGCTGCATCTAACTATAGATTCGTTTGGCAGGTAGCACAATTGGTTACCGATAATGCCAAAAGCCATCAAGCAAAACTGGAACACAGAGAGCAACTGCAGCCAGTCACTTGCAGAAGCACCAAATTCACACGGAGTCAAAAAGGCTGCACAACTAGCCAGCTCTTGGCACCAGTCTCATTTGCTCAGTCATCTGTGTCACACAGATTCCCAAGTTTACCAAAGCATTTATGTCAGGAAGCCCGAAGGTGTATCTCTAAGTCAGACACAAGCATTTGTATTTAACAGCACATTCAATAAGCTTCTCTGTACAGCACTTAAGAGTGAGTAATTAAAGGAAATATTACTGCACTAGACCTTCTCATTAGCAACCTAATTAGCCTTCTGAAAATAATTAACATTCCTTTCTATAAAGGGAACAGATGACCCATTACATCCATCAGACAAGCAAAACAAATGCCGAAGGTAAGGGAGATTTGTTCAGGAAGACAGCAAGAGAAGCATCCAGCAGCAGTATGAGTAAAAAGGAAGAAGACAGGCACAAATGCCTGCAACTCATGAAGACTGGACTACGCAAGTAGGTGTGCAGGACTGGTACATGCCTGTCTGCTGTGTGCATCCAGCATTCACACTGAGCATTTTTCTTCCTCTACCTCTATGACCCAATGATAATGCATCAGCTGCGATGCTGAAAAATTCCACACTCCAATTTATTTTGAAAGGCAGATATAAAGGCTCTCAAATTCAACCACTCAGTCCCAAACAGCTCTCTCCATATGCAAAAATTCCCCGGAGGTCATATATTTTGACTATTAAAACACTCTCAAAATGCCCATTAAAATAAACCATGATTTAATGTCTCATGCAGCCCGTTTCTGTGGCCCACAGGAACAAGTGAGGTGATAGCTAAGAACAGCATGAAGTACACCTCTCCAAGTTTCACAGGGTGGTGCTCTGATCAGTTAGCATGCCCTGAAAGAGTCAGGCATATGTTTCTTGATCAGTGCATGTTTGAAATCAGTGTGGGTGGGCAGAGTCACAGGCATCAGTGCTGTGGGATGTGTGTGTATGTACGAATGAGAGGAAGCAAAGGATACAGGTCAAATATTGCTGCCTGGTGCAGCAAGAACTGTGGTATTACGACAGTTTGATGCACAACAGTTAAAGGAGAAATAAGCCATGATGGAGCTGAGGTTCCCAACATCCACGTAGTCAGGTAACATAGCAAACGTAAATCATGAACATGCAGTTGCATTTTCAGCCATTTACGTGTTGGATGTATATTTACATTTCCCTGGCAGGAAAGCTGACTACTCATAGCCTTCAAGTGTGATTGCAGTGAGGGCGAAGCTCAGCCATACAGAAGCTTCCCCAGCTACATCACTATGGAAACCACAAATCCACCGCCTGCTCTGTTAGTCTATTTCTTTTGCTGATAAAAAAAAAAAAAAAAAAATTGTATTCTTCCAGTTCATCATCATCTCACTTCTGTCAAGACCACAGGAGGACAAACACATTTCACCTGCTTAAAGACCAACCCTTTCTTCCTTGAGAGCCCTCTTTGTGAAATCTACCTCACCTCTCAACCCAACTGGGCAATCTTCCTCCCAGGATGCTTCCACCACTTCTTTCAGTGAGGACTCTTCAAACACAGTCTGGGATTTTATCTTAGCCTCCACAGCTTTCAACAACTTCAAAGGTGGCTCACTCTAGGGCAAATCCATCTAGCTGGCATAATAAGTTGAAAACTGTTCTGGATGCAAGTTATAGTGTCTTGTTTTGACTGAAGTATCATCTATTTCCTTTCCTCAAAGCTCATTAAGAACATTTGAAGGGCTCTCAAAATGGGGTAGGGCACATTACAAGACAGCTGTAAATGCAAGAGTTAAACTTTTGCTTTAAGAAGCCCATCATTTCTACAGTAGTTGCTAGTTACAGATAGTTTTTCCCACACTAAAAATCTGAGTATCTCTCAGCAAAAGCCCAATATCCAAGAGCAACTCTGGAAGATACAGAAGGAAAATGAGGAAAAATGCTCAATATGGCATGGTGCAGCCTGGGATTGTGAAATGGCTGAAGGAACCTTCATACCACCCAGCAGGAGGGAAAAAGCAAAAAACAGATTAAAAAGCCCTCCACATCTAAGTATGTGCATTTTATGCTGAGGAACAGCTTCTGAACAAACCTTCAGCAATGCCATCTTGCACCCAGTACCTCTTACCTGAGGTCAGAGCAGTTCATGGAAGAATCAGAGAATTTAGTCTGCAGCTCCATAAGTCCTCAATGCCTCTCAGCTTCAGTTGCCAATTGACAACCATTACATAGACAAATGCCCACCAGTAAACAAGTTGAAAAAAACTATGTATTTCACAGATGTTCCCAAACAACCATTTAAATACACTCCTCTCCACTAAAGCACTCTGCGTGGAGAGAAAAATCCTGGCTGTGCTCAGGGAACTTCTCGCAGATGACACTTTGGCTTCTCAGCAAGAGAGCTAGGAACAAACTGACATAGTATAAGTTCTCTTACAAAAACCAAAGCAACACTACACAAAAGATGCAGCCCCCCACCTCCCTTTTTGCAAAATGGGCTGGAGCAGTCAGTGCTTCCATATTGGTCCTAACTCACTGACCTCACCTCAGAGTCAATTCCAAGCTGACATTACCAGACGCGTCTCAGTTTCGTTGGTGTTAGCAGAGTTCCTACTGACAGCCCACAGGATAGTCAAAGGTTACTTCTGTGTCCTCAAGGAAGTCACAACAACGCACAAGCCAGTTTCATGGAGGACAAGCTGAGAGGAGTGGGGATCACAGTCCTCAGGGTCATGTCCCTGTGGCTTTGGAAGCAGATCTGTCTGCACCTCCAGCAGACAGCATCCTGAACAGCCTGAGTGGATGGAACATACAGGAGGCACTGAAGGAATGAATAATTCATAGCCTTGTTCTGCTGCCAATGGATCTATGTTTTCTTGTGCCTGCACGGCACTCAGTTTTTGTTTTAACAGTAATAGGAGACGTCCGCGCTTCCTTTGATGGTTCTTGAGGGCAGGCGATAAGCAGCATTTGCTCTACTCACATCAATAGTACCATACACCAGAGCGCTTGCCAGACACAGCTTTCTTCAGAAGTACTCATGGCTGCATCACTGACAAAATGGCTGGACTCATTCCAAGGCTCGGTCCATCACCAGCAGCCTGCCCAGGAAGCTGCTAACACTTGCTTGGTCATAACCTTGAAGAACTGGTCTGGACTTTACTGCTCAGTAGATAACAATTTGACCAACTGAAGGCCTGTATTCAGTTACACAGCAGGCAGCAAGATCACAGTTGGAGCTTGAGGCAACAGCTGACCCTACTTATCCACACTGTTAGCATTGCCACAGTTAAGTCTACTGCTTTTCTTCAGCAGCTGACTGGGTCTGCTCCCCAGTGTCAGAGAGGGATAGGAGTCTACTAGAGCAAGAATACCTACAGGAGTGGGACAACAGAATATCCTAGCATAGGGTTGCTTGGGCACTACCACTAAGAGAGGGTAATGAGACCCCTGAGACAGGATAGGCTGAGGAAGAAAGGTGCTACATGAATCTGAATTTTATATACTTAGCACCTACATATTCAAAGCGAGTTCCCAGTTAAAGTACTGTGCACGACCTACCCATGAAACCTTATCCACAACAAGGAAAACAATACTGTAGCCTGAACTGCTGCAAGCTATACCAGAGCACCTGTGCTTAACCTCCTGTTAGGGCACCACACTGCAGACACACAGAGCGCTCTGAAAATGCTGCATGGTCTCTGCAGATTGTCATTCTGGTCCCACAATGTCCAGCCCACCTACCAGGATCAATATAACGTTTCGCTCTGGGATATAAATCACTCTTGCAAATTTGATAGCATTTTACATCCACTCTGTGCAACAGATACAGGCAAGTGGCAAGATGAGCCTAAAAGGATTAGTAGAGTAACACACTGGTGAATCAGGTGCAGAGACTGCACTGCTTGTTAGGGCCAGGAACAGATTCCTCATCATCCGACTCACACCTGTGCTTTTACCACCAGAGAGGGGAACCCTCCATTCTTTACCTACTGCTCTGGTTTAGCTCAGAGATACTGCTCCACTGTCCTGATTATTTTCACTGCCTAAGGCTATCCAAGTGTGAGGTTTTAAAGAGACAATAACACTGGAATAAGTTTGGCAATATAAATTACAAGTAGTCAGAATGATGTGACTCAGACAGAAATCAAGGGCAATGTGTGCAAATGGCGATCTTACCTACATGTCCAGAAAGCAACTTACTGTTTGAACAGAAATAGCTTCACATCTTGACCATCCTTTAGGCACTCTACATACTTAAATTTCAGAAGTCCCATCTGCAGTGTAGTCAGCTCTGTACTCAGAGAAGTGCTCTGGTTTTCTGGTCTACAAGTGCACTCCCCACCGGTTTTACCCTCCAGCCCTTACCTTTTCCGGGGAGGAATCCTGGAGCTCTCCCTCTTTTTGGTCAGCTCCTGGTTCACAGCATCCGTGGGTCAACCAGGCTGCCTCCAGCAAGTCCGGGCCGTTTCAGATACCAGCTGGTTTTGGACCAGGTGTGCGTGGCTGACAGCTGACACACCAGCCAGCCAGCCTTCCTAAACCAAAGAAGTACAGTTTAATCTTCACGAAGCACAGTGCAAGAGAGGCTTTAAACACTGGAAGAGCTATGAGTATGGATAGCTTAGCTCCGGTACACCGGGCCCTGGAAGACCTGCCTTCTTCAGAGCTCCGGGCGGGCGCCTGTACCTGCCCCTTGCCCGGGGCGGCTCCCCGGCAGCTGCCTCTCCTCTGCTGAGGCCGAGCCTTTCGACTCCCCACTGTCCTTCTGGATCCCAGCCACGGCAAACACTGAGCAACTTCACAGGAGCCAGTGACCAAAGGTTCCTCACTGCTACCATCTCAGCCAAGGCCTCAGTTAAGCCTCGAAGGGTCTACCAGAAAGTGCTTTATGTTTTCCCAGCCAATCCCCCAATTTTTGAGGTAGGCCTCACTGCTGACTCCTTTGCATCCCCATCCTCCCTATCTCTCCCACCTCCTCTCCCCACTTCTCCCACCATCACATTCTCCTCCCTTCCCCACTCTGGGACAGAGCACGGCCCTTCATGTACGCAGGCCCTTGCCACTGCCACCCACCTGCCACCCCAGCCCGTTCCTGGGGGCACCAGCGCTGCCTCTTGCCCCCCGCCCCGGTGACCCCACTGCCTTCCGCCTCCGTGCTGGGCCCGGGCAGCACAGCTGCATGGCCCGAGCAAGCGGAGCCCGTGAGCTGGGGCTGTACCCCTCCTCCTCTTCCAGTGCTGACATTTCGGATGCCACGCTCCCAATTTTCACAGAAGTCATGCCTCGAGGTGCCAGCTCCAACACACAAGTATCTAACATCGTACTCGCGTCACCCTCACAGATCTTACACTCCAGGGGCTTGTCTATACATAGCATTTTTCTGGATTAATTGCATGGGAAGAAGTTAGAGCAAGGACATTTATGTGCTAGACTAACAAATGGGATCTTCATGTTACCCTAACAGATCTCAGAGTTTTTGAGCACCAAAAGCCAACAAGATTCAAGAGAAACATTTTCCTTAAAAAATAAACAAAAAACCTACACTTTTTATTTAGATAACACTAAACTACAAAAACACTCTAATTAAAGATGCAGATTAAATAACTAATCCTCCCCCAACAAAACCTTCCCACCAAGATTAACAGAGCAATGAATAGCATAAACCCACTAATTATAAATCAATGTAACATGGATATTATAGAGACACATTTAGCACCTTCTGCCTATGCACTGAGGCTTGCATCTACCAGTCTCTCTTATGTTGAGAAGCAGTTGTTATTTTAACAGCTAGGTATTTGTACATCACATTGGGAAATAACTTGGTTGTTAGCTAACTCTGGTATAAATTGTTCTAAAATTGATGTTCCTAAAAATTATTTGCACATCTTCTATTTTCATTATACTCATTTTGTCACAGTTGGATATAAGATTCCACTGAACTATTTATCAGACACATGCAAACAAAATTTTAAAAAGCATTTCCCTAGCATCACAAGAACACTGAGAATGCTATTTATGTAGTCAGATCTATTTATCTGTAATTTGTCTGTAAAAGAGTAAAGAAAAAACCCATACAAAATAAGCAACTGCAACACACTCCCAACTCGTTCAGTGAAGAAATATGAACATTACAAAAGGCTCCAAGATAACATAAATTTAGGACAACACAGTTCAGCTCAAATCAGCCCCTTCCCTGGCACCAGCACTCAGGCAACCCATGGGGCTTCCCAGGGAGCCAGACCAAGGAACTGGTCAGCCATCTGAATGATACCCCCATGCTACCTTAATGCCTGTTAGCTGTATCACCTCTCAGATCTGGTTCACAGGCCACAGCCCAGCAGAAGTTCCATTTTCACAAAAAAACTTCATTTCTGTGAACTTAAAGTGCTGGAGAAACCATACCTTTAGTTACACATGTATCTACACTTGAAAGAAAACAATCATCGAAGAAAATGTTCAGTAGCAAAGACTACCCAGTGACACACATGAACAAAGAGGTGGAGCTGAAGATAAAGGTTTGACCTTAAAGCTCATGTGATTAATACATTGCTTAAGCTGTACAGAAAAGGGGGTATGTTTTTCCGTTTGTATAGAAATGATCTTTCTGTGTTGTAATACTAATAATTAAAAATGTGTAACATTTGTAGTAGAAAAAAACCCAAACAAATTAAAAACCAACAGTGGTGTGATCATTCAATTGCATATACAGAAACAGTTAAAATCTAAAATCCAGTACTAGGCCAGACTCAGGCTTCCTAAAACAGCACTTGCCCATGCTCTAACTGTTCCTCTAACAAAGACACCAACATTCCTGGTGTCAGCAGGTTGGGGACCACACATTAGCATCATTTAGCAGTAGTGCTCATCAAATAAGAATACAAAGAACAAGCAAACAAAAAGGAAAGCAAATTCCTGACTGGGAATTAGTTACTTGTTCATTCCTCCAACTGTCTATTTTAGTATTTACACGTCATCATTTACAAAGTGCTCCAAAAAAGAAAGCTCTGGTTCATGCAACAACTCAGTGATAAACTGTTCAACAGAGAATCCAAATCACAACACTGCTCCATGACTTATCTGGGATTCTCCTGAGAAGAAAGTGCCAAATTTGGACATAGAAAGTAGGCATCTGTCATCTCAGAAACTCACCCTGATCTGGCAGGACTCACCCAGAGGGTGATGCAGATTTCACTTTCAACTGAAGTCCCAACACGCCTTTTGATGAGTACTTTTGAACCTGCACACAGACCAGCTGGGATCTGAACATCTCTGAACCGAAACTTGTAGATAGAGCACAAAACACGGTAGGTTTTGCTGAACTTCCTTCCCAAAAGGACTGAAGTACCTCAGAGAGACAGCCACAGTATGCATTACTACACAGTCCCCACCTCCAGAAGAGGAAATGCCTCTCTTCTAGAGCAACAACAACAAAATAATTGAAAAAACAACTCTGTAAAATAAAAGCTTGTAGTTACCCAAGGAAACATGTGATTTCCAAGGTTAGGTGCATCCTTTCCCAGACACCTCTGGGTGAGTTCCCTATCTACTGAAAACTTCTGGCAAAGCCTTCAGAAGCACATTAGACCTCCAGAGTTCCAGATTTCTTTTAAAAGCCACACCACCACCCAATAGCTGAAGAGGCTTGGGCAGATGCCTGCACCCCCACACAACGAAAGCATCCACAAATGTTTCTGTGACTATTTATCGCCAAAAGAAGAAATGCATTTAGAATTACTGCCAAGAGTCCTTATTTGTTGTTGCTGTTATCCTGCAATCTTTTTTACAAAAAAAAAAAAAAAACAAAAAACAAAAACAAACTTGAGTTTCAAACAAACACACAATCAAATTTCCTCGTGCTGCTAGATCTCTCTTACATTATTAAACTCTCACTTACTTTTCCCCTCTGTGTACACTCATCCCTGCTTATGTTCTTTCCATTCCGTTCCTGCTAAGGCAATGAAAACTAACCGGATGGGTTTACATTTGGGTTTTCAGGCTTCACCACAGTTCTCAACATTTTTGGGCCAACAGGCCACTATGAGTGTTTTAAGACTTCTCACAGCTTGCCACATATCCCTGACATCTATCTTTTAAAATTAAAATCTCACCCATTTTCTTATTTTTCATGGTCCCAGGGATGAGCTACAGACTACTTTCTGTAAGCTGTTAAAGCATCAAAGACTGACAGATCCATGGGAGTGAATGGTTATTTACTTATATATATTTACATATGCCTCAGTATCTTTAGGAGCTCATCTAACATTTTTTTCTCTTGATTTCAGATTCTGTAAATCCTCTTGTCTAAAACCAGGGTCAAATTTGACCTCGCAATATGGCAGGTTACGCAGGAGGTGAGTTAAAAAGGAGCAACTCTTACAAAACTCCACCTACACTTGCTTTATGAAGAAGTACAGAACACATGTTACATCATGAAAGCAAATTCACTGGCTTCTTGGTAATTGAAGGCAGGATACTGTTGCCTAGCAACTTATCTGATTACCATTTTTTCAAGTATCACATGCATACTTAGATATGTTGCATAATAATGTCTCACTTTTATGCTGCCTAACCCAACAAAAAAAAAAAAAAAAAAGAGGAGAGGGGGGAGAAAGCTACCAAAATTAATGCCTTTAGTCTCCTTTCCGGCAAAAGAGAAAGTACAAGATAGTAGGTCATAAACAGGTTGAAACATTAGTATTCCTGAATTTTATTCCTGCCTTTTTCTGGCTTGCTGAATGTGCTTATACAAGCATTTTATTTTATCTACTTGTCTGCAAATGACACTAATAATACCAGCCTCACAGAGACACACTGAAAATTCATTAAGAATAGAGAGATTCTCAGATGAAAGATGCAGTGGAAGTGCTGGTGTTAGCACTTACAGCTTTTTAGTACTCCAAATGTTGCTAAACCCTGGTTCAAAGCGTAGCAAATTTTAATCATTGTCATGACATTGTCCAGTCCTTGTTTCTCAAACAAGGATCTCGAACCAAGAAAACTACATTTCTCCCATCAGAATGTGACACTTTTCCATATTCTATGTAGCTGGGAAAAGAAAAAAGAAAACAAACTACTCCAGCTGCCCCACACACAAGGTAGCATACCCCAATGTGGAGCACTAATCATTATCACAGCTCTTGGAAATTGTACCATGAAAATCAGAGGCGTAGCAGAACATATGCATACATTCGTTTTTCAAAAACATGCTCTGCTTCTTGATCTGATCTTTGAAAAACTAATCACACTCTAGCTAATCTACAAAAGAATTAAGCGTTTAGTTGTCTTTATGGTGCGCAGTAATACCTCACAATACAAACACCAAACTGAGGCATTGTTTCCAAAAGGATATCGTTATCTAAGAGGAGGACTTGGATTCTAGAAATTGACGTTTTTGCACATCTACAAGTTATATGCCAATATAACATAACACAATAAACTTCCTACTTTACATACAGACCCAAGTCTTCCATTGCACAGAATGGGAACAGCTTAGCTGCTCAGGGCACCCCAGATACCACACTAGCCTCTGTCAGCTCAAGTGACTGAAGCTGATGTTTCAGAAACTCAGTATCTCATCTCCACGATAAAGTATTAAGCAGCAAAGGCAAACCAAAAGCAACAACAGGCAAGCTCTATATTGCTAAGGAATCATTACATTACCTTCACAGCAGCTCCTCTCTTCCTAGTAGACATTGAAGCATTTTTATAAACTGTGCCCTACATCCTGCAGCTGTTGTGCAAGTCCACTTCCAATTAAAAGCTTAATTGTGAGATCTGCCTTGGAAAGAACTGCTGGATCAAAATAAACCAAATCACATGGTATCTATCATGCCGCTAGGGGAAACTATATACACATCTTTAAAACACCATAAATCATTAAAAGAAATAACTCTTCCTCTAGAACTTACTGGAAGCATCCTTATCATAAACCTCCACTGACACAAAATACAAAGAAAATACATGGGCAAAAGCGTACCGTGGGTTAAGCAAGCCCAGCTTTGCTAGGTTGGTTAACAGGAGAGGAGACAGCCAAATACACCGCTATCATCAGGCTCTCTCTGTCACAGGCAGCAAGGAACTACTCTACCTAGAGCTCTGCATAGACACAGCCCCAGACAAGAATTCTCAACCCAGATTAGGTTGGTGGAACCAAACGAGTTTGATCATCTTCTGTGCATGTATTCTGGGTGAAAAAACTCAAAATAAAACAGACTCCCCATTCCCAGAAGGCACTTAGCAATATAGACAGCACTGTGCCACAGCTACCCATGCTAAACAGAGAGCTTTCCCCTTCAGAAATACTTCATTGTCTCCTTCATGCTCCCAGTAGAGTCAAGAAGAAGGGACAGAAATTTGCTCCACATAAGTCCTTCATATAGGCTATCTTCAATATATGGCACACCTGGGAGCAAAGATGCAGCAAGTAAGGAGTCAAACAGCAGCTTCGCCGTTCTATACTATCAACACTCACCTAATTACTACTAATGCTTGGATCTTATGCAATGAAAGCAAGACAGCACGCGTTTGTGGTAGGGAAGATTCCCTCAGTCATTTAATCCAGCTTTGACAGAAGCCTGTGAGGGTGGAGGAGTTTTCAAATAAGGTTGTGGTGAACTCCTGTGCACTGACACCAAAAAAAATTCAGAACAAATTAAAGGGTAACATAAAACTCTTCTCTCTTTTACAGAATGATTAGACACTTCTGAACTAGTAACTGGTGAGTATTCTCATTCAGATATGCCTGCAAAAAAATCTCTAAAGCACTCTAGCTTCTATCTAGCCTCTAAGGACATGTTAAAGAGCAGTGCACACCTGCAAATACACGTCTTTTACACTTGTTTTAGCTGGACTGTGAGGTGCATACACTCTGGCTCACACTAGGTGTTATTTGGTGTATCATTTACAACCAGGAATGTAATGCTGACTAACCAGAAAGAGCACATTGCTCCCAGTTGGCACAGATATTGGTAATCTGTTCCTGCAGAGCCAAAGCCTTTGCCCAGTCTGGCTTCCTTTCAGGACTCTTTCTGGTTGCCTGCACAACCACCTTACCTAGGAGCTCAGACACCATCTGGATACTCCTGCCTCGCATTCTGTAATGGAAATGTGAAAAGCAAACCGGTTTATTTCTAACATACAAGGAAAAGAAGCCCTCCGCTCCCCCACCCAGTCTGCACTGAGCCTGCAGAGCTAAGAGCAAGAAACAGTGTCAGGTGGTAAACTCACCAGAGAATACCAAACTACATACAGGAAGCAGATCCAAGAAGTAAAAGGCAATCACTTACAAACCCATATCAAGCAAGCCACAAGCAGGTAATACTTTTTATGTCAGAAGGCATTAGCTACTTAGACGATCAATCTTCTTCCAGAAGAAGACAAGAAAAATACCATAGTTGACCTTTCACAACAGATTTTGTTTTGAAAGAGAACTCACACTTGTATTGTTCAATTTCACGTCTTTCACTCCAGATCCAATCCAGGAACACCTTTGTTGGACACTGCTTCATTTGCAGCTATACAGGAACAGACAGGACCATAAATAAGCTTGCTCAGGTGCCATTTCCCCATCTGCAGGACGTTGCTCTGGCATCTGAAAGCTTACCAAGGTACTGCATCTGCCTATGGAGGTGGGCAGTGCTTCCCACAAAAGGAAGGTGAGGAGTGGGAACAGAGGCTTCTCCTGCCTCCTGCTGGCAAACAATTTCTTTAAGTAATTGACCCATTTTCTACAGAATAATTAGCCCTAGGGAATGAAGCACTGCTGCCCTTTAATTAGTCATGTTGTTACCTCTCTTGTCTTACCCTGTAATAGCAGGCTGCCTGAGACTGAAAAAAAGAAACAAAACAAAGCAACACAACAACTTAATTTACTTTTCTTAAACATGGCATTTATTAAAGGCAATCCAGAAACAAACAATCCTAAGGTACAACTGGCAACAATAAAATTTCCCATTACCTCTATGATTTCATCATCAGAACAAGCAGGTCTCCTTCACGCCACTACCCTTTAAGCCTCCTCAACGTGTTGGGCTTCGCTTTTTCAGGATACTTTCCCTTCATCTTCCATGAGGAAAAACTTTCCTTCCACTGTCAGGAAGGTCTCTTTGCCTAAGATCTAGTCAAACCTCCTGCATATCGGAGTTTACTAAAATTTCATGCAATTTCTTGCAACCGAGCTCAGTAACCTGGATAAGGACAGAAGCCCTTTAGTCTAAGGAGATTAGATTTGCATGCCATGAACAAAGAGCACAAGAAATCACACCACAACCAGCATGACAATTCCAAAACTGGCAAATGACTGTTCAAATGAGTCTCACACAGATGTGCCTTAGTGACCAATCCCATGCTACAGAGGAAAGAGAAAATCTACAGAGACTGGCCCCAGCCTCTGTGGTAAGTATGATTCTGAGGATACAAATGAGACTTCCCATCAGAGCATGCGATAACAGCAAAAAGATGTTCGGGGTTTTTTTTTCCCCTGGGAAGAGTGCAAAGTCTTCTTTCCCTCTCCCCTACTCCCCCTAGACCTCCTCCTTCCTGGCATGCTCAGTCCTGATTGTGACTCCTTTCTAATGCTTCAGAGGAAAGGAAAAACTAAATTCATCTGGATAATTACACCACAAGAGGAAATACCCTTCCTGGACACAATGCAGTGACTGCCAGCAGCCCTGAAGCGGTCGAGCTGAGTACAGTCATTGTATTAACCAAATGGACAGGTATTAC